CGGGCCCAGCGAGGCGCGCGGGGCGGCGGTGCGCGGTGGAGGCGGCGGCGGCGCGGCGGGGGCAGCCGGGGCGCGGGCGGGCGCGGGGTTCCCTTCGGGACGCCGCTCGAACGGTGCTAGCTCCGGGCCTGGGCCCAGCGCGGGCAGCCCGTCCGGGGCCTTGAGTGTGCGCAGCCCCATGAGCGTGCCGAAGGCGAAGAGCAGCACCAGGAAGAGGGCGATGCAGGCGCGGCGCCGCCGCCGGGCCATGGCTTTCCAGCGGTGGCCGCCGCCGCGCTAACAGCCCCGGAGCCGCGCCATTCCGCCCGCCCGCGCGTCCCAGACCACGGCCCGCGAGCGCCGGGCGCCCAGGGCGGCTCCGCGCCTGTCCCCGCAGTGCGGGCGGGCCCGGCACACACAGGATGCAGTGGCGCCGACCAAGTGATCGCGAGTGGAGGGGGGAACCAGGCGGAGGAGCGGGAACCCCGCCTGGCCACAGCGCGTCCCAGGCCGAGTATACCTGGGGTCCGGGTGGGGTGCGGAACCCGACCTTCCCGGTAGAAGGATCTCTCAACTTCCTTGTCGAGCCCTCCTTCCACGGAGCTCTAATTACCATCACCCCAATTCGCCTCAAATCCCCAGTACTGAGAAGAGAGGCATTGGGACACCCTGCGAGCTCTGGCTGGAGCCAGTAACCTAGTGGAGGACCCTGCTTGAACTGGAACCTAACTCCAGGGCCGAGCTTGGCTCTCCTGTGCTCTCTAAGCAGTAGTACTGCCTAGTCTTGGCTGTCTAAGCATCATCCCCTCATCTTCCTCAACTCTGCTTTCCAGGGGCAAGCAGCACCCCCTCCCTTCCACACTGAGATTGAACCTAGGGGCCTTGGACCCATGCTTGGCATTGTTCAACAGCAGTGAGTTCAGTCCTCCTTGCCACTCACTCTGTACTCTGAGACTAGGTTGCCCAGGCTGACCTTCAACTCAATATATATAGCCCAAGCCAAACTTGAATTTGAACTATCAATCTTTCTACCTCGGAGTGCTGAGGTGACAGGTGTGAGCCACCACTTCTGGGTCATTTATTGTTTTCTGAGGTGAAGTCTCAGTGTGTAGCTGAAGGCAGCCATGAAATTTTCTATATGGCCCTGGCTAGTCTTGAACCCAGGTTGGTTGCTGTTGGTCAGTGTTTGTCAAATAGTCGTGCACACGGAAACAACAAGAAGAAATTAGATATCCAGGCAGCAAAGATCAAACTTGCCTCAAAGAACTTGACATCCTAATCAGCAGGAACTCGAATGGCCCCTGTCCTTGCTATCCAGTTCTCTCTCCCAGCTAGGGTTAGTGTTGTAAAGATGAAAGAAAAGGGCTGGAGAGGGGTGGAAGATAGAAGAACTAACAAAGTAGCCAAAAGACTGGTTACAGACACAGACGCAAGCAAAAACACTTAGATGCATAAAATTCCTTTTGAAAATATTGTGTAATGCCCCAAAGATCTTATATTTCAAAAACAAGAACAGGTTACTATGTAAATCAGGAGAAATGTTTATAAGACTGTGTGAAATATCTCTTGGTAATTAAAAACATTAGAACCCAATTAAGAATGTACAAATTTCACAGAGAAACCCTGTCTCGAAAAACAAAAACAAAAAACAAAAACAAATACAAAATGTACAGATTTATTTTTATCTTACATGTATCTGGTCTACATGTTATGTGTGTGCAGTGCCCAATGAAGCCAGAAGAGGGCGTTAGATCCCCTGGAACTGGGGTTGGATTATTTTTCTATATTATGTTGCGGCTATCAATTACATAATGTTAGAAGTTAAAGATCAGGGCTCACACGATAGTAAAGGCTCCTACTACCAATCCCTAGGACCTACTGTAGAAACAGAAACAACTCCTAAAACTGTCCTCTTTCCTCCACATGCTGTGTGCATGCACACACACCTCACACATACACACGGCACACACAACTTATACATAAAGGTTTTAAAAAGAAGCTACAGCTGGGCAGTGGTGGCGCACGCCTTTAATCCCAGCACTTGGGAGGCAGAGGCAGGCGGATTTCTGAGTTCGAGGCCAGCCTGGTCTACAGAGTGAGTTCCAGGATAGCCAGGGCTACACAGAGAAACCCTGTCTCATAAGACAAAACAAAACAAACAAAAAGAAGCTACAGGGCCTGGAGAGATGTCTCAACAGTTAAGATCACTTGCTGCTCTTGCACAGTACCTGGGTTGGGTTTCTTGCAATCCCATGATGCCTCATCACCACCCATTCCTAACTCCAATTCCAGTGGATCTGATGCCCTCTTCTGAACTCCACAAGCAGCAACACACAAACATAGTGTACTGACATACATACAGACAAAACATTCATAGACAAAAATAAATCTAAAGCAAATTATTTTTTCAATTGCAGAACACCAGGTTATAACCTTGCTCTAACCTTGGGTTGGTCCTATTGGGGCAACGTTCTGTAGTTTCCCTGAGACTTCTCAGCTAGGCTTGCAGACAAACCTAGTCACAGTTGGGAGGCTCCACGTCCTCCTGTTCTTCTTCCCCTGTGACTCACAACCGTTGACCAGTAGCTCTGGTCCTCTCTCCATAGGATTCCTTCAGCTGCTGACCCAACATGAGCGCCTACATCGAAAACAAGCCTAGAGTGGGAGATGTAGCTCTGTGGTTAGCGTGTTTTTCTAGCACACAAGAGCTCTGAGTTCGATCCTCAGCACTGAAAAATCCAGACATGGGTAGTACATACATGCAATCTCACTATTATCCCAGGACTCGGGAGCTAGAGGCTGGAGGACCAGACGTTCTAGGTCATCCTCTGGTACATATCAAGGATGAAGCCAACACAAAGAACTTTTTCTCAAAAACATAATAAATAATAGGAGGAAAAGGGGCCGGAAGAGATGGTTTGGTGATGAAGTTTGGTTACGGATTTCCACGACACCAGTAACACCAGTTTAGGAGATCCAAAGCCATCTTCTGAACTATGTAAGTGCCTGTGCTCACACATGTACAACACCATACACAGAGACACATATGTACACATAATCAAAATAAAATACATGTTTTTGAGATAGAGTCTCACTTTGTAGCCCAGCTGACCTGGGACCCTGCTATGCAGATCAGACTGGCATTGAACTAACAGAGATCCACCTGCCACCTAAGTCTCCTGAGTGCTGAGATTAAAGGCTTGTACCACCATATTAGCACTAAAATAAATCTTGTTTGTAAGGTGTGCACTTTTATTAAACCGATCTCAAGTCAGTGTACAGGCAAGCCCTGGCTGCCTCATCACCTCAACACACTCCCAGTAAGACCAAAGCCTTCACGCATCAAGTTAGGGGGACAATGAAAGAGGGTCATGATGTCTGAGCATTCAAAAATTAGAAAGTATTAAGGCAGATTTTTTTTCTAAAATTGCAGTACACAATTTACACAGAAGCAATGCTGTGGCCTCCTTGACATGCACTCAGGATGTGGATTTTGCCATCTTCTTCTCGGGAGTGGGGACAGCTCTTGGGAGGGTGAGGGACTTCCTGTAGCCATGTATTTCATGGATACTTGGGATGAAAACATAAGTAAAATTAAAAAAGCCAGAAGCCAAGGTGTTGGCACAAGCCCACAAGCTTGAACCTAGGAGCCAGGAGGAAGAGGCGTTCAAGATAACCTAGGCTACATGAGACCCTTAAAAAAGAGAGAGACAAAGAAAGAAAAGAAAAAACAGTAAGAGCACCAGCTGCTCTTTCAGAGGTCCTGAGTTCAGTTCCCAGGAACTATATACTACATGGTGGCTCACAATCATCTATAGTGGGTTCTGTTGCCCTCTTCTGGCATGCAGGTGTACCTGTAGATAGAGCACTCGTAAAATGATTAATTAATTAATTAATTAATTAAAGCCATCTCTCCCCCATGGTCTCCCCATCTGAATTGCACCTCCAAGGATGACATTGCCCTCCACCCTCCACCCTCCACTTCTTCACATCCATCTGGTATCGCTTTATAGAGGACAAAACAGAGACTTGGACCCTCAGGAAGACGCTTAGCAGAACTGGAATCACATCTGCCCTGGCTCTTTACACAAGTGTCTCCTGTCCCGGGACACAGCCCATGAAAACACTAACAGAGCTGCTCTCGAGTGGTTTCAGATGTGGGTGATCTGGTCCCCTCCAGTCCTGGGGTTTATAGAGAACTGTTGGGCAGGAAAGGTTCCATTTAGGAAGAGTTAGTTCTGTCCAGATTCAGAACGAGGCTCAGAAAGCATGAAGAGACAAGGAAGAGGCAACCTGGAGCAGTTGGCCCTAGGGAATGAAATTCAGGGATGGAGGAGGATGAAGATGGATTACATCTTTATTACAGGACTTGCAAGTATGGTTTGACTTTTGATACAATGTATAATATTTGATGGAAAATAAGAGTGGATTTAAACAAATTGAACAGGTGGATCTTCTAAGATTGTGCACGGAGCAGGAAGGAATACAGGGAAATGGTTGTCTCACAGGTTTGTGGTAAGGATTACACAGAATAAGACTCGTCATATGTGTCTGCATTGGGCCAGACTCAGTTATTTTGACAATTGTGTGTGTGTGCATGTGTGTGTGATAGTCTCTCTCTCTCTCTCTCTCTCTCTCTGTATGTGTGTCTCTGTGTGTGAGTCTGTGTCTGTGTCTGTCTGTGTGTCTGTGTGTCCGTTTGTCCGTGTGTCTGCGTGTTCCTGTATCTCGTGGGACCTGGGAATTGAACTCAGGTTGTCAGCTAAACCTTCTCAAAAGCCCCTATTTTTGGCTTTCAGGAGTAAGGTCTCACTGTGTAGTTCAAGCTTGTCTTGAACTCACAATCCTCCTGCCTCAGCCTCCTGAATTCCAATGGTGTACATGTATCGTCATGCACAGTGGGGTGTTTGGAAGGAATTGGTGTTAATGAGGTCCCACTCTTGAAGTCAACGAACAGGCATGCATTTATTTATTTGCACTGCAGGAATTTGAAGCCAGGGCCTCACACATGCTGGGCAAGTGTCCGTCTCTGAGTAACACCTTCGTCCTAGGCGTATATTGAGCCCTGTGCGTTGGAGCTGGTGCTAGTTGCTGGCGATGCAGTAGTGAACTAAATATGCATGCTTTGGGTCTCCCTGGAGACCACATATAAGTCACAGGATAGTGCAGCTATCTGGGCAAACAAAGGTCTCTGAACAAGGATGAACCCCCCCCCCTCTTTGCAGCTGCCTCGTGGGATACACTGGAATAAAAAGGAGGAGACATGATTT